ACCATCCACCCATCACCACAACACCATCCACCCATCATCACAACACCATCCACCCATCACCACAACACCATCCACCCATCACCACAACACCATCCACCCATCATCACAACACCATCCAGGCATCACAACAACACCATACACCCATCATCACAACACCATCCAGCCATCACCACAACACCATCCACCCATCACCACAACACCATCCAGCCATCACCACAACACCATCCACCCATTACCACAACACCATCCATCCATCATCACAACACCATCCACCCATCATCACAACACCATCCACCCATCACCACAACACCATCCACCCATTATCACAACACCATTAACCCATCACCACAACACCATCCACCCATCATCACAACACCATTAACCCATCATCACATCACCATTAACCCATCTCCACAACACCATCCACTCATCACCACAACACCATCCAGCCATCACCACAACACCATCCAGCCACCACCACAACACCATCCACCCATCACGACAACACCATCCAGCCATCATCACAAATCCTCCCCGAACCGCTGATTATGCCTACTCGACTTTAGCCTTGACACCATTCCCTCCCCATCCCCGTGCCCTCTACCCTCTCAACAGCCCACCGCGAAATACGAGCAATTCTTAAGCTCATTTAATATATATATATATATATATATATATATATATATATATAATATAAATAGATAAACATACATATATTTTTTATAAAAATATATATGTATATTTATAAATTAGAAAAATATCTTCAAAATAAAANCTTTGTTCTCGAAAAACTCTATCTCTTGCTCTGTCTATCACAATTATTATTATTATTCAATTTTTCTATCACAACAATTTGTCATTCTATCTACCACAACCATCATTCACTCTGTCTATCACAACAATTTTTCACTCTATCTACCACAACCATCATTCACTCTGTCTATCACAACCATTTTTCACTCTGTCTACCACAAATAACTTCCTTAATTTCTCACGCCAGATTGAGAACCTATGTTTTATAGTTTAAATTTTCTGGTTGATTCGTCCGCTTCTATAACAAGTTAAGCAACAAAGAAACCACAAAAACATGGATGATTGATAGACACGCCCAGGGATTCTCAAATCTCGTCAGGAGCGAACAAGTATTAACATAAATATTCTAATTAGACGACCTCCTTGTCAGCCGCATCGTCCCCCTCGCCAGCCTCAGCATCTCGGTCAACATCAGCCGATTTCTTCTCAGCGTCAGCATATTCACTGTGGACCACCGACAGCTTCAGCTCCACGCGCTGCTCAGGTGACGCTTCTCGTAACAGCTCTGTATCACTGTGCTGTTGGCAATAGAAATAGTTTCAACCAATCTCTCAATGTATCAATTATTTAACATCGTCACCGTGAAGCCTGTATGGTCAACAATTCAACAACATTGTGACAGTGAAATGAGTAGGGTAAACAACTCAACATTGTGATAGTGAAATCGGTATGGTCAACAATTCATCAACATTGTGACAGTGAAATCAGTAGGCTCAACAATTTCAGCAGCACTATAACAACTTAATCAGTCTGGTCAACAATTTCAGCTGCCAAGGATTTTACACTGTCAAAGGACCAAGAACAAATAAATGCTACAATGAAAAGATGTGTTAAACCTCAGAATTCGGATGTTATTCCAGTGTCATGCCTTTGTACAAATGTTTCTTATAAAATTAACACACACAATTATGATCATTGTTATAGAGCGTGTCAAACTACAGTTAAGCCCACCCATTTACATTATGACTTGCTTTTTGTATTTATAATTTTAACACGATTTGTGTCTTATAAATGTTTGGTTAGTGTCAGTGAGTGTCGTGGTCAAAGTAGCCAGTGTAATCATGTCACTTAGCGTGTCAAATCATATAGTGTGTCAGTGTGTGTCGTGGCCGAGTAGCCAGTGTAACCATGTTACTTAGCGTGTCAAATCATATAGTGTGTCAGTTTGTCCTTATGTAATGTTGTGTCAAATCATATTTATATATATATATATATATATATATATATATATATATATATATTAAATACCATTAATGTTAATAAAAAGAATAAAAAAACATAGCATTCATTGAATATTTTTATAACAGCTTATATTTAAAAGACTTGCCATAAAATTTTGCTACAATCGTCCCACCGGATACTTGTCCATTTTCTGAGATTCCGTAGCAATTATATGACGTGTTTGATCCTAAACGCAGAAGTTCAGTTGTAGAACACTCACATATTTGCATTTTTTTTTAACAGTGAAAATGTTATTAATAATTTTAAACATTGTAAATTCTGTTAATCTTTTATCATTAAGTACATATTATTTATCACTATGTAACATTCTTTTTATCATTAAATTTGCAGGGGAATTTCATAAAAATAAAGTAGACATGTTGTGAAATCTGAAACAATGGTTAACAATCCTTATACAATGTGCGACATAATTTAATGATATTTGCATGTTTTAATTGGAAGGTGGGAGGGGGGGGGGAAGAGACTGCAAGAAGTTTTAAAATCAGTTGTTCTCAGCCTGTGAGTCGCGACCCCTTTGGGGGTCGCACGATCCTTACAAAGAGGTCGCCTTAGACCATCTAAAAATACATAAACTCTACAGTTATATAGTATCAACGAAAATAATTTTGTGGTTGGGGGTCGCCACAAAATTAGGAACTGTATTAGAGGGTCGCGGCAGTAGAAAGGTTAAGAACCACTGTTTTAAATGGAAGGAAATATGTGATGCAAAGCATGGCAAAATCTGAAACAAAGTCTAAAAATAAAAAAATAAAAAACAACGTGTCCTGTATTAGCCTTCTCCTGTGTATAAACAACGACTAATACACATATGAAAAAAAAAAACTTAGCTTAAATGATTCATCCAGTGGGACAGTAAGAGGACTGTCGTGACCACATTACTTTCCTACATTGCTTTGCACATAATATATAATTAAACATAAGTTATATTTTTTAGCAAAAAATACCTGTAGTGTTTGAGGATAGTACAAGATCACTAATTTCACCAGGGGGTGCAACAGACTGACCATCTTCTGTAAACCACTGGACATACCCAGCTGGACGTGACTGGCGGACTATCTGACAGTTACACGTGGCTGTTGTACCACGTCTGATGTGTCCATTCTTAACACCTGGACCACTTGGACATTCGGGAGATATAATGGCCTTTGGGATTGCTGAAATATTTGTATAAGTAAGAAATTATTTCTTTTATATATTCTCAAATAAACTATTCAAAATTGTTTTTGATTAAAGAGGATACATTTTTTAAATTTGATTTATGTTTTGTACCTGTTGATTTGTATAGTATTATATATTTAATTGTTACAAGTCCGCTACCATTACAAGGACGCATTATTCACTTATGACTACCATAAATTTAAAGTAAGACATTTTAGCATGAAATATTATATTGGTTTTTCCATGGTCATAATATAAAAGGCTAATTAAAAAATAAATATTTGTCCCTCCTTACATAATTTGTATTTAATACATTTCGGTTGGTTATATCACTCCTACTAAAAGCATTTACTAGATCAAAGTTGGACAACAACGTATTGTTTTAGTTAATCACTAAATTAAACCTAACTTTACACAATTATTCATCATAGGGATTGCTTAATCGTATTTAACGGAAATCTACCGAAAAACAATGTTATTTTTTTTTAAAAGCGCATGTAATTATAAGCCTTGCAAATTTTCTGTTTCAAAAGTTGCGCCAACTGTATTTTAAAACTCCCTCAGAGCCGTTCTTATGACTTTTGGGGCCCTAAGCATTGAGCGTAGGTTGGTGGCCCCGGAAGGTGGGGTCCGGGGGTGAAGCTCCCTCGAGCTGAGGAGAAAACACCACCCACCACTGCGGCACCTCCATTCTGCCTTCATCAATGTTTCCTCTTTCCCATTCCCACGGCCAAGCACCCGATTTCCTATCTGCTACCCCCAAAGCTCCCACCTGATGCTTCCCTTCCCCTGCCTCCGAATTCAACTCAGAATGATAAATTTCAGGATGAGGAAGGTAACGTGAGTGACACAGACGGCTACAGTGCCAGTTTAAAAAAAAACCGGGGGATCGAGGGCGCCTCACGGGGGCCCCCTCATGTTCGGGGCCCTACGCGGATGCGTAGGCAGCGTATGCCTAAGAACGGACCTGACTCCCTCTTGTACAGCACGTTGTAGATCAGCCTCAAGATTAGCATATAAGTGAGAAACAATCTCTAACCTTTGAAACACTTAACTAAAAACTCGCTGACTAACACAAATACGTAAAATCTAACATTGAGAACAGTTGTTTTATTATTTTAAATTTAACCAAAGCATGATACTCCCTTTTTTAAATACGAGTTTTAGTTTATCATTGAATTTAGGGGTTCACCATTTCTAGGCGGGACATGTTGTGAAAAAGTCAAACGACTGTCTGTCCAATAATTTTCTGTGGTGAGCTCGACCAACGAAAGCTGTCTGGTGGTGGGCAGGAGAAACGTTTTAAGGGCAACCTGAAATCCTCACTGAAAGCCTTCGACATAAACCCAGACACGTGGGAGGAAATAGCCAAGGATCGAACATCATGGCGTTTTACTTTACACAGGAGATCTATGCACCATAAAGTTGGAAGAACAGTGGCTGCAGACCGCAAGAGACCTGCCAGGAAGGCCCGGTCTGACTCTGCTCCCAGAGATGCGCCATCATCCCCCTGCACCTATTGCACAAGAAAATTTCGAGCCAGAATTTGCCTCATTAGCCATCTGCGCACCCACAGACACAACTAGCACAAATGTGATGATCAAAGTGGTCATGGGTGACTCCGGACGGACAAGCAACAACAACAACAGACTGCCATACCAGGATCAGACAAAGTCGGGTAATTCTTCAATAATTAAGTGGATTTTGAGCTTTTTACAGTTCAAATGACGTAAGGAAATTTTCAAAATCGAGTTTCAAACTCATTCATCATTAAGATGAGTTTGTTTAATAAGAAGCTATTCACTGAAGTTTAAATTTAACATATCAGCACTTGACCATATGTCCTCTGAATTTCTGTGATATGAAAAAAAAAAAATTAACTGCAATCTCAACTTAGGTTCCTGTTTACGTGTCGACTGTTAATGATATTATTCAAGAAAACCGTGTTGTTAGTTCGATTAAAAAAAAATCATTTTCACAGCGCTGTTTCATTATTTGTCTAACACTAAATTAGGGATCAATTATTAATTAACAAGTAACCCAACGGGCACAACGTCATAATTTTTAGTACATTCATAATTAAACCAATTTCATTTTAAACCTTTATCAAACAGTGAATGGTTGAAGCATGCGACGTGAGGGAGGGGGGAGGCACCAATGAACATTCGGCCAGTATATAATAATAATAATAATAAAGTTCATTTAAAAAACACGCTTCATCCCCAAAGGCTCGAAGCGCGGTACAAAGTCAACAAAAAACATATCTATAATTCACCACATTTAAAACAAACACAACACTACAAAAACTAATTACAAGCATACAATATCAAAGTCTTTCTAGCCATTTCAACCCGGAGCAACACAGCAACACATGGAAAATAAGGTAGACAATCATCCCAGAAGGTATTTGCGAAATAGATGTGTCTTTAGATCTGTTTTAAAGGACTCCAGTGTCTGGTTGTTTCTAATATCGACAGGAAGGGCGTTCCAAATTGTTGGACAAGCAAATGCGAAAGTGCGCTTTCCGTAAGTCTCAAGGCAAACACGTGGTGTCGAGAGTTTGCCACTATCGGATGAGCGGAGCTCTCTACTGGGTACATAAGGCGTCAGCTAGCTACACTACTGCATGAGTCCTACGTAAGTCAAATCAAGGGAGGAAATATCTTTATAGATAGCACCGCAGATTGGGTAAGTGTTAGTAAAAACAATTCATAGCAGGTGGGATAGAACTCATTATACGACTTAAGCCATACACGAATTTCATCACCAACGCTCAACCATCCTGGTCCTGGGCTGCAGGTTTCTTCTGTTCAATAGAAATCAAGCAGCTCTGCCAGTCCATACACAGCATAAAAGCTGTTAATTTGGGAAACATCTCTTATTTATATTATGCTTCTGATGTGACTCGTGGACTGCTTCCTATTCAGCGTAATTGGTATGTAGAGTATATTGCAAATAATTCTATATTTTTTAAATAAAGTATGGTTCAATAATTAGTCCAACAGCTCGCAAATTATAATACCCGATAACAACGCTAAAAAAATTTTTTTAATAACAACTGCATTTGGTGCGTAATTTGTTTTTCGGAAAGTGAAATCGTCTCAATTTAAGTATGGTGTAAATCAAAATCGGTTTAAATGTGATTGGGACATCAGAGTACTAAATATAGTTCTTGGGCGTTAAAAAAAAGTGTACAGTGATGTATCATGGAGGAAAGAGGTATAGCTAAAATCGGGATTCTTTAATCTGCGTCACTTAGTCCATGTTTTTTAAATTAAATTTAGTAGATGAAGAGCTCACACTTTGCGGTCGCCAATGTTTGGCGGAATATATTTAGTACAATTATTTTTTTTTACCTGTGCGTGGACAGCAAACCCCAAGTAAAACTTACTACTAACATCTTAAACATTATCTCATGCAAAATGCACTTACACCTGCGATCATATCTCATAGTTAAACATAACACTTACGCATGTAACCTTATCACATGTTAAACGGAGCACTTACACATTCTAGTCTGACCCTCTAACCATCTATCCATTGGTAGGTAACTGGAAGTCCCCTGACTAAACATTCTTGATAAATTTGAAGGATTTACCTATTTGCACATTCTGTTCATTGGCTCTACAGAAAGTAGTGTTGTATACATAAACCGCATGAAAGGCAAGATGGGATGACCAATCCATGTTAGCCCTCAATGACATTGAATATTGTCTCAGTATCGTATCGTAAAGGCTAGTAGAGTCTGTAACCTGAAAGAAATATATTAAATGCTTTTTAAAAAAAAAAATAAAGTAGCAAAACACTAAGTATAAATAGATGTCGTGTTGGGAAAATGAAAGTTCCAAATTTCAAAATAAAGTTAGAAGAAGATGACAGAAATTGCCTTCTAAATTCCAATCTTTAAAATATATGCCTCTTTTTTGTCATTATTAGGGATTTATATGTGTTTAGGATTGTCAAGCTGTTTTGGGGGTCGTCCATTAATTATTTTAAAAAAAAATAAAGGAGGAAGGTGGTTTGGAAATTTTTGAAAAATTGTTGACAAGGGGAATTGGGGTTTAGTATTTTGACGTCAACAATCATGTTTTCTCTATAAAATTTTTATCCTAAAAATTGACTGGGTATTACATTATTTTAAGAAATTTAATAAGTGTAAATTAAAATGTTTATATAATTTTTAGTTATATCAAAATTTTAACTTGTGGATTAACAAGCTAAAGATGCAATAAAAAGTTTTTCCTAAAATTTTGTGTTATTAAAATAGATCAGCACTAAATAAAATGTATTTATATATTTATTTATATCAAAATTCATTTTTAAGAAAAAGTGGGGGAGGGGGTGGTGTTATAGAAATTTTGACATAATTACTTGGGGGAGGGGATCATTGACAATTTTACAGTGTGGAGAAGGGGGAGGGGGGGGGGGCAAAATTGTTAACGTAATTATTGGACGCCCACTTGGGACTATATTCAGTACACAACTTGTATGTCACAAACAACTGGGGTGCGGAATAGAGCAGAGCTCCATTGTTGGACCTATAGGGTGGACGGAAATTGCTGTGATTTTGGGGAGGGAATTGTTAGAGGGGGTGGCTTTTAAGGTTAATAGATTCTCACATCTTTGATTCTTCCAGTCTTCCCACGATAACTTTGGGGACGGAAGTTCCTAATTGACCGGAAAAGAAAGAACACTCACTGCAATTCTCTATCCAATATTCCAATATTCACAACTTAAAGTTTAAACATTGATGAAAACAACTTACCATGTCCATTTATACCACATGATAAAACAACAGGGTAACCAGGTCACAAATTTCACCCAATACGCCTCGAGTATTGAACCGTCACCGAGAGGATAGACCCAGTATTAGTAACAATAGCACCGATATCACTTGGTACGGGGCAATAAGTACGGGCTATGCCTCGAAATACCACTTGGTATGACCATAGGTATGTGTCATACGTCACAATACGTCACAATTATTGGAGAAAAAAAAGTAAATGAAATATAAATTTAAAAAAATAAATGATGTTAATAATCCACAGATGGTACTCTTGTGCCATTCTTCTTTTCTTAGGTGCTTCGGGAAAACCCACAATGGAGTATCGTAATTTTGATGTCATAAATGGATTGATAAAATATATATATATATTAACTCTTATTTGGTGATATGCAATGCTTGTGATTTTGAGTTTAATAATTAAATCCTTATAAGATAATTATATATTTTTTTCATTAATTTGATTTTGTTTGAAGTCGATTTGTCAATCAAGATACATTTTAATTACATTTCGCAATAGTAACATATCAATAATAAAAACAGATGTTCAGGTTTTCTCGATAAATTTGATGGTGAATTCGGAGCAGTTAAATAAAGATAAAAATGATTTAATAATAAATATAATATCTTAACTGTTACATTCGGAAAAAATATTCAAAATAGATGTTTAATTGTTATAGTAAATCCATTTATAATTGTAATACTTGAACATATACTTGAATATAAGGAGAAATAAGAAATAAAAAAATATGATAAAAAAATACATTTAATTTGATTCGATTTCTGTAAAATAATAGAACATTCCTATGGATGTTTTTAAGATTCCGAAGGTATTTACGTTGATTTGATTTTGAAATGGTTATATGGTCAGCCTCGCTCATTCATATATATACATATTATAAAGATATAGCGCTACTGGGTAGAAACCGTAATGGCATAATTAAAGGATACAAGGGACTTGAAAATGCCTCAATCAAAGCTGGTCTTGATATAAATGAACCAAAGACAAAATATATGATAAAGTCAAGAAACTCACATGCTGATGATAACATCAATATAAACAACAACAAATTTGAGAGAGTGGCTACATTCAAATATCAAGGGGCAACTATAAGCGAGCACAATGGGATAATGTCAGAGGTGAAAGAAAGAATAACAGCAGGCAACCATTCGTATTTCAGCCTACAAAAGCTACTGGGAGGCAAAAACCTCTCAAGGAGAACAAAGAAAACAATATACACCACTATCATAAGAAAAGTAGTCTCGTACGCTCTTGAGACCTTGACCAATACCTTAATGGCAGAGAACCTGCTCAACACATGGGAGAGGAAAATGCTCCGAAAAATATACGGCCCAGTGATAGAAAAAATATCTGGAGAATCCGTACAAACCGAGATGTTTGCCATTTGTACAAAGAACCACAGACCGTCACAAAGATAAAAAAAACGGCAGTCTACGTTGTGCAGGTCATGTTGAAAGGATGCATTATTATAGGGCAGCAAAGGTTATACACAGGCAGAACCCCAGGGGCAGACGACTCAACGATCCCCTTACAGCTGAGATGGGTTGATGATGTGGAGACGGATTTACACCAGTAGGGCGTTCGCGAATGGAGGCGGAAAACCATGGATCCTCCGAATGGAAGGGTGTGGTGAAGCAAGCCAGGGATCTACATGGACTGTACTGCCACTGATGATGATGATGCTGATATATTATAAATAAAATTGTATCATTCCTTGGTGGTTTTTTTTCGTATTTAATATGCTTTAAGATTTTGTTAGTGATATTAAAAATATTCAATTTAATTAAACAAATTTAAATCGAGTAAGTCTCTTATATGCAACGTATGTCTCTTAAATAGCTTGTAAAAATAGCAAAAAATATCTCTCTCTCCGAACCCGTGACTGATTGAAATTTATTTTGAAGTCTTGGTACCGCAGCGCATCGCACTATCACTTTGACCACCGCGCCCCCGTAACTAAAATGCCATTACTAAATTCTGCATACACTTTCAAAAACCAATAACTTCTAGATATTATAATTTAAATTACTATTCAAATTACTTGTGGGCCATCAATGATTTTCATTGTAGAACATCCCACTGAAATTGGATCCAAACTATTCTAATAACTTGCATTATGATAAAAACACACAATTCTGATAAGTACTCAATATATATGTGCATCATGAGTTTTAATATCTGCACCAAAGGTTGGCTTATGTGAGGGAACAGTGCTTGCTATTCAAAGAGTGTTAGTTTTTGTCATATTGACCAGCACTTAGTTTTAGTTAATTATATTAGTTTTTTAAAACTCAAAATTAAATTCACTAAGAAATGGGTCTTAACTGTGTTTGTTCTATAATATAAGAGCCAACAGCTTGCTAGCACCTGTTCTACACTATCAAAATTAAGGGTTAAAAAAACTTTTTTTTTTAAAGAAACAAAAAGCAATGTTAATACTTATTGACCACAATCATATTTCTTTATGTTTTAAATCAACAAGTATGGACACCACTGAAATAGGTGTTTTGTGAATCACACAACCATTAGACAGCCACAACCAAGCTCAGAAATCTATTAAAAATGACTGTATAATCTATAAATATTTTAAAAACTAACTGAAAAATGTGTACAATAAAATTTGTAGTAAAAATGAAGCTAAAAAAGTAACATGAAAGGAAATGGCTGATAAAAAATTAAGACCAATTTTATTTGATCGTGAAAGTCTTAACAGCCATATCTGTTATGCCGGAACTTTTCTTTAACTAACTATATTGCTTTATTTAACAAATGGTAAATAACAGAGGTTAGCTTTATGGTTAAAAATATGGAAATGAGCGAAACAAAGTATGGGACAGGGTGGAAAAAAAAAAGGATGCATCATAACAACGAATGTGTTGGCAAGAAGCCTTCATTCATCAGCAAACAAACAGTAAAAACAGAATTAAATATAATAATTAGCTGTAATTTAGTATCCAAGAGGACAGCAACAGGAGAGACTTTCCTCTTGCTGTCCTCTGGTTTTCTACATTACAGCTAAGTGTTATTTTTATTTAATTCTGTCCTTGATGCTTGTTCACTGATGATGGATTCTTGCCAACAAATTTGTCGTTCTTTCCTTTTTTCTCTTCACCCCTTCCCATACTTTGTTTCGCTTATGTTCCTTTTTTCTAACCTAGTTGCAGTCTCTCCCCCTCATTACCATGGTTAAAAATATAAAGTGCTTAGTTTGTACTGCAAAAATGTAAAAAAATAATAGCAATTTTGAAATTTATTGTTATATGTGCATCGTGGACTATATTTATGCCAATAAACTATAGTGCTTGAAAAATCATAAATATTTAACCTCACTGTATTTAAAAAATTTCCAAATGGGTTTGAGAAAAAAATAAATTAAGCACCCCATCTTATTTTCCCACTTTAATTAAAATTATCACCCAGTTTTGACTTGTGAAAGAATTATTCGTAGTTTTTTTTTGGATGGTAATTATTAATGGACCTACTCCACAGTTGGCTCGGCAACTAGAAATTTTTGCCTACGAAATACCACAGCATTGTAATAAATTTCTGAGACAGATATGGCTGTTAGAGAACGGCAGCCAAGCCGCATCGACGCAAGTCGTTCCCTTGGTTACACCATTGACGTGGAGAGGGTGGATATGCTGTAAGGGCAGCAGCTAATTCTCCATAATACCCGCCCAGGCTTGCATCACCTCTGGAGAGGACACTCCAGCGTCGCCGCAAGGTGTCGACAAAACACGGGAAGCAGCAGTTACCGGTTATAAGCCAAAAGCTCAATTGACGTAGAGCTAGGCGCCAGGGGCTGCTTCCGACGGTGGGAGAGACTACCAATGTCTCACTGGACAGCTACCGCCCGCCTCAAACTGGGCAGCCCCCAGTCAAATAGGTGCTATCCCGTCATGGCCTGCCTTCTCCACTGGGTGCGTGGAGATTAGAGTACCACTCAA